AGCACGAGGTACAGAGAACCGTTTATGTCAGAGCTCGTACACCGCAGCCTTTAAAACAAACTGAACTGTTACGCTTTCTGAATTTCTTTCAAGTGTCTTCCCCCGTCCTCCTTTTAATAACTATCTCACCTGAATCACAGCTCATTAATTTTAAGAATGCACTGACTCCTCCTTAACGAAGGCATTTGAATGTTTAAACTGGGAAACAGCGCTGTCAAATGAGCAACCACATTCTTCTGTTTAGGTGTCTCGTAATTCTCAGAAACTGAATGCACGGCAGCAAAAGTTCTCCATAATCTAGAAACTGGTGTGGTGCTGGAGTTACCTTATGTAGTTTCTGTTAGAGGAAGTACAGCAAAAAGCGAACACAACTCACTGGAGTTTTGTTTGCACTAACCATCATTTGATATCACCAACTGTGATGTTCACCTCAGGAGTCCTCTCTCAACTGTTTTGCAAATGCTGTAGTTCTGGCAGTGGAACCGCAGGCACCCATGATTCCCGAGCCCGTCTGTCCACCTTTCATTCTCACCTGCTTCTACGAACACCCGTAAACGCAATCCTTCAGGAGAAGAGCTGAAAACATTCGAGTCTGCAGCTGCAGTACAACTCAAATCTCTAGTAAGTTTATTATCAAAGTGGAGAAAGGGACAGTATTCAATAATAACGCAATTCAGGTATTGCTTACTGGTATGGATTTGCAGAATAGTCTTTTTTCTTTAGGAGTATGGTAAAATATGCACACGGGCAATACCCAAGAAAACCCTTATTGAAGTTACACTAATGCCCATGCCTAGTTTTGTCCTTATATTATGAACATGGTCTCAAGAGCTCAGTTTTATCGACAGTTAGTACGCTATACAAATACGTGATTTAGCTGAGCGGAGAGACCTATGCTGTGAAGCGGTCTGCACAATCAGGTTTTCAACAGTTCAGCTGCCGTAGTTGACAGTTCACAATTGCAGCCATTCATTAGCGTCCCTGGAATACAGCCTGCACAGTTCAAGCTGGTCAGCTATCTCTGGACAATGATCTATGCTCTGCTCCTTTTCCAACATGCCTAGTAATATTTTGCCCCCAAAGTCTGCCAAACATGTAGGAGGTTTGAACAAGCTTTCTCAGTAACATTCTTTTAACAGAGGCAACATATTTCTTTTCCCCCAAGAGCCAAAATAAAGTTATTAAGCCAGCTGGAATATTATGCTTGTCAACTACAAGTTTGTGTACACAGGGGCATAAAGGCAGTAGAGACACTGATGTACCCTGATCCCACAATCCTGGCAGGTACTCTAACTGCCCTCCACCCAAAATAATCAGAACTGCTGCTAAAGTCCAGCAAACGAAGAGTCAGGGCAATTTCGAGATCCAGTTCTACGCGTGTTTTTATAACATTTGTCAGACTCCAAATTCAAAGTGGATTGCAATATTCACATCTGCCTCAGTAAGAGTACTGTTTCCTCCATCCTTGAATACTGTTGCAGTTGATTCTACTTGTAGCCACATTTAGAGAAGAAAATAAAACTATGTTATGCTATGTAGGTATTTCATAAAAAGAGAAATATGTTCTGTGTAAGTTAAGAGCTTAGCAATGTAAACACATCAACTGAAAAAAACAGCTTTGCCTTCTAAAGGAAGGTGTAATATGCCAAAGGCTTTTTTTTTTTTTTTTTCCCCTTTTAATTCTTTTGGACCACCTACCCGCCCTCTCTTCTCCCCAGATAAGATTTCTTGATTGATTCTTCATTATTCATCAGGTCAATAGAAGAAGCCACAGTTCTGTCTAGACTACTGTCAAAGCATACTGGACTATCAGAACAGGGAATTAAAGGTTTTTGGGCAAGGTCTGGCAAAAAAGTCAGTTCTACATCTACGTAATTCTACATATCTGTTTATGTATCAGGCTAAATAACCTTACACCCCCACTTCTATCTTAGACGTAGTTTGGTTTAAAACAGGGGACCATAAGACAGGAATAACACAAAGAACTCTTTCAGAAAGATGGGAACTGACCAGCTTTTGACATCAGACCTGTCTCGTACTTACTGTATGTATCACATTCTGTTTTCAAAGAACTCCCACCCTAAACTATTTTACCTTTAAAACAGTTACTCCTCATATCCAGAATGGTGAATGACTTACTAGATAAATCCAGGATATTCAGAGTTATACGGTATTCCTTGATGAATCACTATTTTAGAAGATGACTATAGGAGAATGATCTCCACAAGTTTGTCAAGCTTCAAGTATGCACAAATATTTAAATATAACTGAACGTGTCAGAAGAAATGTAGATACCTGCCTACACATTGACAGCCCCCCTCCCCTTCCTGGGTACGTTACACATTGACACTAAGAGAAAACGAGAAAAACGCTTTCCACAAATTTCTAGCTCTCATGATCACAAAGTAAACTCTCTAAACAAAACCAAGCGTTAACTTCCTGAACCTGCAGGCAGCCCGAAACAGTGACTCATGACCTGTGAACTCCCTTTGCGCCCTATTAGTTTTATCAGACTGTCAACCCTCTGCCTATTAAGGACACTTGAAGGTCTTCATTAACTATTTCACCACTGATTTCAGTAGATAAAGCAGCTGGGCATAAGCCCATGGGAGTAGTGGTGCAATTTAAATGGCTGGAAAACGGAAAAAAGCAGGAGCAAGAAGAGAACAGCAGACAAGCTGGAGACAGTTTTACAATAAAAGCTTCTCAGTGAGTAAAGCAAATAAAAACAAAGTGGTAAAACAGCTTTAACAAGCTGCAAGGTTTTTATTTTCTCCTTTCTCTGTCTGAAAACAGTAGAAGTCAGGCTACTGTTTGAGGGGAACAAAGAATCAACTCGGATCTACTGGCTCTGCATGTATCTCCTACCTTGTATGAAGCCTAGGCCTGTTTAAATTAAACTTCTATCGCTTATCAGTATCACTACTAACTCAAGCTATTCCAAGCTGGGAGAGACTCTCACATACCATACAGCTCCTTGCCTAGTGTACCGCTTCTGCCCTGGGTGATAAAACCTTGTCCTTTGCTGAAGCAGGCAACTGAGAAGCACACGTTCCTTTTCAGATAACCACAAGTTAGTTTCTCTACTGAGCATCATGATGTGGCACGTCAAAAAGAGCGCTCTGCATTCAGAGTCCGTTCCTATTGCTTACTCACAGTTCTCATAGCCAAGCTTCTGAAAATGTTTCTTTAGAAACAATTATGCGAAGCAATGCTGCAAGGTGGCTCAAGTTCAAAGACAAAACTACAAAAATAACATTAAGAATCACTGTCCAGGGTAAGAGTACCAAGAACTGTCTCACTAGGGTGCGACACAAAGTTAGCAGCCTACAGGTTTGAGTAAGTAGGACAAGTTTTTCCTTATCGTTATATAAAGCGATTCATTTGTCACAGATAATCATGTCTGCTACTACGATTTATATAAAGTATTAGAAGCTATGCAAAATGAATGCAAAACACATTCCTTCCTTTCTGACTCCTTAATCAGAACGATTAAACACGAGACAAATCATCTTCTGATAATATACTGAGCTATGAAAAAAACCTACCAGCTTGAAATCTAACCTTATTTGCACAAAGAAGAGTCTGTCAGCTGGGTCAGCAATCCTCTTAAGGTAGGCACAACTGCTGGAAAATTTTAGCTTTTTAACTTTTTCTTCTAAGCCCTTTACGGCTTTAATCAGAACTAGCACAACTCTCCAAAACACAGCTTTTGCTCGCATAAAGGCATTAACAGAGTTACTATCCCAAATGCAGCGTTAGTCAAAGCTCCAGTGAGCACAAGGCCTGCATTACGGCAGATTTAACTCTCCAAACACTAATTTGTCTTTGAAGTACCTTCTCCATCCACTACTCCCTAATCCCACATACGCAGCTGCTTGACTAAAAGGCACACTGAGCAACACCGACTGTGTTATAAAGTCTGGTACTGTCCCAAGGTGAGGGAAGGCTTACGGCATAATTCAGCACATCAGACCTCCTTCTAATGGTGTTACTCCTATTTTAAAACAAGTATGTATAACCCACATGTATTTCATTCTTCCAAATTGCAGTAATCCCAACAGTAAACATTAATGACATTAACTCAGCGCTCAAACACTGCTTTCCCTGAAAGTCTTCTCCCAAAGAAGTCAATTAAGAACAGTTTTGGCCATGACACTACACTTCAGAGCAGCCTGACGACTCTTCGGGAATAAGTCACATACCTCCTTCCTCTCTTGGGCCCTTTGATGAGTCTGCTCATGCTACACACCTTTGTTACAACTAATAGTTCCAAACTACTTTCCTATAAAGAAAACTCATTGTAAGGTTGTACCTTCCACTGCGTCCACATCTTTGCCCAAGTAAGTGGTGCCCGTTTTTTTTTCCTACGCAAAGGACCATTATCTGTAGAGCTTTCACTGTGTGAAGGCATACAAACTCATATGCAGATGCATGTACCTTCCTAACTGATACTCTACAGTGCAAACTCAACAGCAGGATAAAAAACAAGAATCTGTGTTATAAGCCTTGACATTTTCCAAGATACCCCTCACCTGATGGCCCTGAGATAGCACTACACTTCTATTTTGAACAACACTGCAATATAGCGGCGTTGACAAACTCATTTTAACCTGCCAGTCATCAGAGTGTTTTATGATGCGTTCAGGGGAAAGGAGAGAACATATCGAGCAACTGGGTTTTCAGTTTTCAGTCTTTGACTTGGAAGAGGTCACATTATTTGTGCATTAAGCAGCTTTCAGGCTACTTTCTGCCCTGTTTTGTGAGAAAAGTAATTACACTCATAGCCTGAGAACAGCAAGTGCAGTTCACTACTTGCCTAAACACTTTGCTATATTTTGTATTCTTAACACACACCAAAAAAAAAGCCCAGGTAAATTCCAGTATGACTTTCTGAAAATATGAACTTACAAAAACCACTTGACAATAATTAGAAAGTTGATTTTCTTTTTCCCCCCTTAATAAAAGGTATTTTTATGGCATTATAAAATAATTCATACCTGTCTTCATCACCATCAACAGGAATAGATATGCCAAACACAGAGCTGGCAAGACTGTTCATAGGAGTACTTGCAGGTAACTGAAGAGGATTTGCTAGAGTGTCTGGAATGGGAGGCTTCACAAGAGGTTTATTTTCAGCTATAAGAGAAAGTGGTGGCTGAGGTAGGGGTTCCGATTTTCTTCTAGTATCGTCAATCTGGCCTACTAAGGACTGAGCTTGAGTCTGAAACTGTCCGAGGTTTGACTGTGGCAGATTCGCAGGTACATTAGGCGTGCCTTGCATTAACGAGTGTCCCACATGCTGTGGCTGGACACTGCCGGTACTTCTGCTGACAGAAGTGTGGCTAGTCAGCTGGGACTGGACTAGCGTAACAGGGACATTTGGCATAGTAACAGAAGCGGTGGTAGACACACTAGGCACACTTGTACCGGGCACAACTGCAGGCACGTTCTGAACTCCAGAGACCACAGCATGGGGAGCACCAGGCATTCCGGACACTTGACTGCTTCCACCCATTTGATGCTGAGTCACAGATTTCTGTTGCACAACCCCTGTATGTCCAATGCCTTGCTGCACCACACCTCCTGGTTGCGGAACGGCAGCCTGACTAGCTTGTGTCTGGCCACTCTGCATTAATCCCGATCCCTGTGCGACTGCTTCGCCAGACTGCGCTGACACCCCCATGGCTGGCGCTCCCACAGGTGAGGGATTTTGGCCGGTCACCTGCCCCACGGGAAGGCTGGAAGCCACAGTACTTGGAACAGAGCCCGTAGTAGCCTGCTGAATAGCTCCTTGAGACTGCATAATTGTCATGTGCTGCATGTATTCGGTCTGACCAGAAGGTTGCGTCGGCAGTAGATGCACTGGTGGAATCTGGGACTGAGAATAAGCAAATTGTTGAGGCTGAGTCACCGGTATGTTTGCCTGCTGCACCTGCTGCTGTGCCACAGGAATGCTTGGCTGCCCTATTGTCACATTTGGAGGTGCCATGCCTTTCCCGTTGGGTCCAGCCTGTGCAACACCCTGCGTAGTTACCTGTGGCTGCGATTGCTGTGGCACCATCATTTGCTGATTTGCGACCGAAGCCCCAGAAAACATAGGCTGAGCAGTACTTTGAGGCATGGCCCCACCTATGGGTTGTTGCGGCTGCTGTTGTTGCCCAATGACAAAATTAGGTTGCTGTAGAGAAGACTGGTTCATTTTCTCTGTCTGAAGCAGCTGTGACACAGCAGTCAGGGAACTGTCAGCTATAGAATCAGGGCCATGGGCTGATGCTGGCACAGCCGAGACCACGATGGAACCTCCTGTGGCACCGAGGCCACTGTCCCTCTCTTGAGCAGCCTGCTCAAAGGTGCTGCTGTGCCTAATGCAATCTCCAGTCCTGCCAAGGACACCACCACCGTCTGAGTCCCGGTCATAATACTCCATACACGTCCATCGTCCTCGCCTGTAGGGCTCCCCTGTACCATGGTCCAGCTTGATCACCCTGAAGCGCGAGCTGCACGCAGCAGCCACCGTCTGAGACATTGTCCCAGGAGCGGCAGATGCAGAAGGCCCTGTGGAGGGCAAGGCAGTTTGAGCACTGCTGCCTGCTGCCACGGCAGTGCCAGGGGCAGCAGCTGGCAGGGGCACAGCGGAGCTCTTGGGCACGGCCCCTCCATTGGGGGCCACAGCCGGTGGAGCCGCAGCTACCCCACCAACAGCCACAGCCAGTTGCCCGTCCAACAGGAGGTTGGGAGAGATGCTGCCAGGAGTTTCAGCCTCGCCCACGTTGTTGAGAGTCTCCTCGGAGGAGCTCCGCTCGCAGACATCCTCAGGGCCGTAGTCGGTGGCTCGGGAAACATCAAAGATTTCCGAAGACACGTCCTCGGTGCGGGACTCATCCGGGTCATCCAGGCTCTCGGTGTCCTCGGTGATGCTGCTGGCCACCTGAGCCGTGGTCACGCTGGTGATCTGGAAGCAGCTCTTCTTCTTGGCCGGCATCTTGGACATGTTTCCTCCGCGGGGAGGGGCTCGGCCAGCCGGGGCGAGTATTACTGAGAACAGATATAGAAGAGATGGATTAGCACGCAGAATTGCAAAATAAATCAGGACTTGGCTGAACTGTTGCATTCACAGGGAACAGTTGAACTGAAGGGAAGCTAGTAGTGGGGATCTCCCATATTTTAGAACTGGTCCTTAAAACACACTGTGACCTTACTCAAAAAAAGCCAGGATGGGTTAATGGTACAGTTGCAAGGAATGACAGTTTAAACAGGGACCTATCATAAAGGAAAACCCTAATGACATTGGTGGCTGGAGTAAGAGAGATACAATAAAAAAGTTAACTTACATATCATATCAGGGATTTTTGAGAGGTGAGCACCTGAAGACACCAAAAGTAGGCTCCTTACGGGTTGGATATGAACCACCACTAGGAAAAAAAAAAAACAAACCACAAACAAACGAACAAAACAACAAAAGAGGATTTATCAGGAAACACAGTGGGAACAGACCCAGTGAAAAAACCCAAACAACCAGTGTTACGAACGCGACACCAGCGGCGCCCCACCGGCACGTTTGTGTGAGGGCCTCGATTTAAACTGCCAACCGCGCCGAGCCGGCGCTGTCAGAACGGCGACGGGAACGGCCACAAGGAATTAGCAGGCGGTTACCTCGACGAGGAGCGAACCGTGACTGGAAATAGGCCACAAATACGTTTGGGATGGAAAATATGATGACTTTAGAGGGGTGAGCTGGCAGCCCCCGCCTGAGGAGAGCGGGCGACCCCTCAGGAGCGCGGGCGTACGCCCGCGCTCCTGAGGGGTCGCCCGCTCTCCTCAGGCGGGGGCTGCCAGCTCACCCCTCTAAAGTCATCATATTTTCCATCCCAAACGTATTTGTGGCCTATTTCCAGTCACGGTTCGCTCCTCGTCGAGGTAACCGCCTGCTAATTCCTTGTGGCCGTTCCCGTCGCCGTTCTGACAGCGCCGGCTCGGCGCGGTTGGCAGTTTAAATCGAGGCCCTCACACAAACGTGCCGGTGGGGCGCCGCTGGTGTCGCGTTCGTAACACTGGTTGTTTGGGTTTTTTCACTGGGTCTGTTCCCACTGTGTTTCCTGATAAATCCTCTTTTGTTGTTTTGTTCGTTTGTTTGTGGTTTGTTTTTTTTTTTTCCTAGTGGTGGTTCATATCCAACCCGTAAGGAGCCTACTTTTGGTGTCTTCAGGTGCTCACCTCTCAAAAATCCCTGATATGATATGTAAGTTAACTTTTTTATTGTATCTCTCTTACTCCAGCCACCAATGTCATTAGGGTTTTCCTTTATGATAGGTCCCTGTTTAAACTGTCATTCCTTGCAACTGTACCATTAACCCATCCTGGCTTTTTTTGAGTAAGGTCACAGTGTGTTTTAAGGACCAGTTCTAAAATATGGGAGATCCCCACTACTAGCTTCCCTTCAGTTCAACTGTTCCCTGTGAATGCAACAGTTCAGCCAAGTCCTGATTTATTTTGCAATTCTGCGTGCTAATCCATCTCTTCTATATCTGTTCTCAGTAATATTTTCCAGTATGATATCATACCAAATACTTCTCTAGCTTCAACAGAGATTAAACCTACTGCATTAACAATGTAAGAACTCATTTATGTTAGAAAAGAGTTTTGAGTTTATCTGACATGAGACACCTTGGTAAATTTATCCATTAAAATCAGGCATGCCAATTATACAATCAGTTACACAAAGGCAAATGCCTTTCCACTTTTTTTTTCTTAAACTTTAATTCGAAGTTCTTATCTGCTGTGCTAGCCCAAATTCCATAAAAATTCTGCAAAAGGTGTTTGGGTAAGTGTCCATTCGTGTTATTAGCATCTTCCATTAATCAGATATTTCAAACGGCCAGAGCCTTCGTCCTTGAACTTTCTGTCTTCATTATCCTGTCACACCTCATTTCTTCTCAGGGAGGAAAGCATTCTGATGACCACCCAACTCTCCATGTCTTTGAGCATTGCCATCGTTTTCACCAGCCTGGTGAAGATGTTCTGGTATAATTCAGTGGGAATCTGGTAGTGTTGTTTGACCAGATGTAGAAGATAACCAGTGGGGCTTTTTCCATTAGCCGCAGCTCAGTGTCCCACAGACTATGTCCTCGCAAGTAACAAACCCCAACTTTTCTCGGTGTACTCTGAGTGAGGACTGTCCCTTCACCTGTTGCCGTACACACTGGGTAGTTTCTTTCGATTCCTGAATCTCAGGTTATACCCCATTTGTTCTGCTTTCAGAAAAGCGTTCTATTCTGTGGTGTTTTGTGAACTCTCCTTATGTGTGTAACATCCTTGGTTTCCGTGTCTGTGTGTGCAGAGTGTGCCAAGACTTGCTCTTCTTCTCATCTTCCTTGGCACTTTGTCTTCTGCCTGCTTCTTTTTATGCTAGTATAAACCTTATTTTCGATTCTGTTTCTCTTTGTACTAGCTCATCCCTTACTATTTCCTGTCCTCATATTCTTCAAAGTCTGCCTTCTAGAGTTTCTTCATTCTGCATATGTTAGGAGATGATGAACTGTCTGTACGGCATCCTTTTTCCTCCTTAATGATTTTGAATTCCCATCTGAACACCATTTGTAATTCTTGGATTTCCTCCTGGTATACTGGAGTTTCTGCTTCTGATATGACGTGAGTTCTGTCAGGTAACACTTTCTGGAGTAGCTTCTACCAGGTACCCACTGGAGAATAAAGCATATTCTTTATCCTTACTGCCATCTCTGAGCCCTCTGATCAAATCTGCATTCTTAGAATTCATCTTTTCTGTCCAACCCTGACTTTGCAGAGAGAATAAAGACAATCCCCCAAACTTCCTCTCAAACAAATTCCCTCCAACATGCAATCCTTTGTTTCCTGCACCGTCTTCACTGCGTGATTTCAAATATACAAATGTTAGAGAGAAAATGTAATGTACAGAGTACAAGGTCTTGAAAATGAGTAATATCATCTTAATACCAAATTGCAGTTGTAAAACTTTGTATTTCAATCTAATAAATGTCTTATGTCCATGAGAAAGTGTATTTTTGGCATGGGACATGAGGCGTTGGACCTTAAACCTGCCGTTAGCCCAGGCGCTATTACTCCTTGTCCTGCAAGTCAACCAAGTATAATTTGATAAAAGAATGGAACTCTGTATTTGAGCAGAGAGAGCAATGCTTCTTTGACAAGGTAAGTTTCATTTTAACAGGCAGCATGTAGATGTGGCTGGGAGTTTTTAAATTGGTCACAACAACGGTGGGTTAAATAGCCAACGGAAAGTTATGTGGCCAAAGAAAGATGTATAATATTGCAATATATTATACAGGACTACTGTTGATACCACAGATACCAATGAGGTCAGCAGAAGTTCTGGGTTTTTTTTCAGGCTAGTATGAAAGCTGTAGGGCAGTGAAGCAGCTGGGATTGTATGTGGCGTAGATCTTCTATAAATGATGGTGACAATCTTTGGAGAAAATTTCACAAGGGCAAGGAGTAGCTAGCTACAGGAAATAGTAAAGACTTGGGATAACTTTTGTATGGGGATTTTTTTTAATTTCTTCATTTTCAAACAGAAAGCATTTGGGCATATCAGTCAAATGCATTCAGGACAACATATGATTAAACCATTCTGGATAGGAATATGTTTTAAAAACACTGTCCCCACACAGTTAAATAATAGACGTGTCAGTGGAAAGATGCAGGATGCCAGAACATAGGAAGTTATTCTACTAGACCTACCCTATAAGTGATATTTCAAAATTCTTATAGGAAGGAGACTGATACGTAATTCAGTGGGATGAAATTCTTTCCCACCATATAGGTACACAGACCTGTAACAGGTAGGGTAGCACTTTTTTCAACATTGGACAACTACCAGTAGGCTGTTGAACAGTAGTCTGCTAAGCCGTAAAAACAAATGTTTCTCCTGACAGTGCAGTAAACCAAAATGAAAAGTTATTTTCTTCTCATTTTTATGCAACTACTCTATTACTTTAGTGTATGAAAGTATGCTTTGGTGGAGCAGAGTAGTCTTTGAATTTAGATAGATCTGAAATCTAAAATAGCAAAGATGCTACTTTAGAATCCATTAATTTGTCACTGTTCTTGTTCATTTGAAATTATAAAGTTCTAAATCCCAGATTGAAAAAGTCATTTGCTAAATCCTCCGTTCACAAACTGTGTATATATGGATATTTTAACGTAACCTAAAATGTAATGAGGAATGGGCTATTTGGCTGATATTTCATGTGGTCTAGCAAAAGAGAAAGGGAAATTAATAAAAGGTAAAATAGGGAAAGGATGAGGAACAAGAATGAACAAGATAAACTAATTCACTAACAAACCAGAAAGGTTTCTGAAAAGTCAAGTATAAAAATTGCTGCAGCCCATGGCCAGGTTAGCCAAGATATACACAAATAATCCACACAATGGCCTTGGCAGCATTACACTGATAATATTTTTGCAAGGTTGAATTAGAGCTGAACAATATTCTAGTATGATGGGCACAAACATACAGATATTTTTATTAAGTGTCAAGCATGTATATATTCCTTTTTTGTCTTCAAGAAAAACATCTGCCACAGTTAGTTAAAAGAAATTCCCACATGACTCCTGTTTGAGTTTCTGTGAGTGTCAACTGTGTGGGACTCTCGTGGTTTCTGTGTATGCGCGCGTGTTCCTGTTTTTTGGAGATCTGGCAAGGACAGATTTAGCAGGCAGTGCTAAGGGCAGCAGACTCCTTTTCAATGCTCCTATGTTGTGTGACAGAGAGTTTTGTCTAATGCTTCCACACTCCCTCCATCACCTTCTACCATTACATAGTTCTCTAAGAGGATCCCTTGACAGAGTTTCAGCAGCAATGAGAGCCATTAGCGGCTTTCCACACTTGTGGTTTTACTGTTTGGGGACTGCAGGTGAATTTACATATTTTGGCATTTAAGGATCATGCACCAGTCATGCAAAGTATCTTTCACCAAGTCTCTCAGCCTCAGAGAC